GTGCTGCAACTCGATTAGTTAGCAGTTGAAATAAAGTAAGCGTTGTTCTATTCTGCTGAAATGCAGAACTTGTGTTTAGCGTTGTTTTATATTCAATCGGGCTTATATTATTTTAAACGTCTGGTTGTTTAACGCAGTTAAACAACGGGCAAACTACATGAAAAGCACAATACTACTTGTAGTACTACGTAGTAATTTTTTAGCCATTATGTGATTGATTGGATATAAATCGTGACCAGAACATTCGAAGTGATTGGCCAACATAATATTGCTCCAAGGGCTTTCACTGGCTCCCGTGATTGAGGTCCAAGGTCTTAATAGCCAATGGGGTCGACCGTCTCAGATCTCTAGCCACTACTTCAGCAACGTGAGTCGTCCACACGTATGAGCTCGTGACCGTGCTCCCGCACAGTGGTTATCTGTGTTCATTGCGGCACTGAATATTTAATCTCAGAGATATTTGTCGAGAGCGTAGGATCAGTAATTGGCTGGTGATGCGATCATTTCAGCCAGTAGTTTGGCGCGGTGATGGGGTCATGCACCGCATTTCGACGAATTGATTTTAGAATGAGATAGGGAGGAGCAGGCACTTGAGCCTAAGAGCCTGTTCCAATTAGATTTCATAAGGAATCCGACTCACTAAAATTCTCACTATACAGCTAACGTTAGCACTTCATACCGAGCAGGAAGTGCCCCAGTATGTACCGTGCTTCAAAAACTATACTAGTATAATACACCAGTAATACGATATGATGGTGCAATTCTAATTGCTCCAACATAACATCGCGAGTGACGGATATGATTGGGTAGAAACAGGTCAAGGCAGCTGAGTTGCCACCAACCTCGTGTTGGAAAACATTCAGCAGGATATATTTTAGGCTAAACCACTTAGAGAAGGATAAATAATATATTGATCAATCATATTCTACAACGAGCCGGAATTGCGAACTTGCCGGACGTGCACTGTGCACATCCCCAGTGTCTTCCCTAGTCGCTTGCAGCCTTCAACGCTGCACGTCATGTCCTGACGATGGATTTCGCACAGCCCCCCGCCCCTGTCCGTGCGGCCGCAACCCGCCACCGTGCAGGATCTGCACCCCCCGTGTTTCGCACATCGGTCCCCCCGCTGGGCCCCCTTTGTGCACCCGGGCTCCAAGCATCGCTTACCCCCGCCGTGGGCTCGGCAAAACCCACCCCCCTGGCTGCTCTTCTCGCATCCGGATTGTTTGCATCGGGCACCGCCGCCGTGGGCTTTGCACAGGCCTTGGGATTGCGCAGCGTTGGCACACGCGTTCACCTTACAGCACTTGCCCCCACCATGGCCAATGCAAAAGCTGCCGTTCTGAGCTTCCTTGTGGCACCCTTCCATCATACACGGTTTTCCGCCGCCGTGCTTCTTGCAGTAGCCCCGAGATCGCACGACGCGGCCGCAGCCTTCGGTGGAACAAACTTTTCGGCGGGAGCTCCACGTGCTCCCCTCCCTTGATGATGGCGATGACACGGAGCTCGAAGTTTCGTATTTGATGAGCGCCCCCGAGGCAGCGTCATACGCGGTAAGCTGGACGAACGAAGTTGGCGGTGTTTGGGAAAACTCGTCGAGGGGGTCCCAGTACGTGAACTTGAGTAGGTCCGATGCGGTCATGTCCACCTCGGACAAGACTTGGTCCAACGTGAATGCGCTGAGGGGCTCTAAGTCGTGAAAGCCAAAGAGGTCGATGTCGTCCAAGAGTGAAGCCACTGTGGAATGGGATGCGGAGCTGGTTATCATGTAAGGCAATGGTTCCATCGACGACGCAAGCATGAGTCAGTCGAAAGAGATGGAAGAAATTGAACAATGAACATCCACGATCGTCAACACACGATATACACTTTGCAAATGTAGCCCGAGAGAGCGGGACCAAATGTCCCGACAATCAACATGTGGATTTCCTTGGACATGTGCTTTACCACATACTCCTGGATGCAATAATTCCCTGAGAGCAACAGTTTCACTGTTGCTTACGTCATCCTTTCGATAGTTTACCACAGGTGATGCGCTTAACCCCGGAAATAACAACAAAATGCGTCCGGGGCTTCCGAGGCTACAGGGTTTTGACGGGAAATGAATGCGTAAGCAACAGTGTACAGTAGCTGTTGCTCTTAGGGAATTATTGTCCTGGGTGAGTGAGTACTGTACTACTCTGGTAGCGTAGAAGTAAGGACGCGGCTTGGACACCATGTGTGTATGCGTACAGAACCGTCTGGGGTTCACTTTATGCTGAGGTGTTGTCGATGAGTATTTGGTACTCTCTCTGCCGCCATGTTCTGTCCTTCAAGCAATAAAACTGACCACTACAAAGTCGAATTCTGTCGAATTGCTAACGTTATAGAAATTTTTTGCGGCACATTGAATTAGTGAATTCATAGCAAATATATGATGTTGGTTCCTGGATCCAAGGCGTGCACATGATGCCAATGAATCCTGAACGCTCTTGCGATTCACATGTCGATAGTAACGTGACGGACGCTTGTCTGATTCAACCCCGCGTATTCCCCGAACACCCTGAGTCTCGCAATCGAAGTACCCTATATATGCTAGAGCATATTACACTCCTATACAATCAACTATTACACGATGCACTATTTTTCCAGCTCGACAATTCATGGACTCAATGGGGGGGGTAAAGTGACTTGAACCTATTGAGCTCAGCTTGTCCCTGAAACTCGAAAATACTGTGTTGGGTGCAGACGTAAATTATCACAAATATGTGGCCAGGCTTCGTTCACATGGCCTTAACTCGAGCTTGCCGGGTATGCACAGTGCATACCCCCATAGTCTTGCCGAGGCGTTTGCAGCCTTCGACGCTGCAGGTCATGTCCTGCCGGTGGATTTCGCACAGCCCCCCGCCTCGGTCCGTGCGGTCGCAACCAGCCACTGAACACGCGCGGCACCCCCCGTGTTTCGCACACCGGTCCCCCCGTTGGGCCCCCTTGGTGCATCCAACCTCCAAGCAACGCTTGCCCCCGCCGTGGGCTCGGCAGAACCCGCCCCCTTGGCTGCTCTTGTCGCAACCTGCGTATTTGCAGCGGGCGCCGCCGCCGTGGGCTTTACATAGGCCTTGAGACTGAGCCGCGTTGGCGCACTGGTCGAATTTGCAGCACTTGCCGCCACCATGTCCAATGCAAAAGTTCCCATTGTGCGCTTCTTTGGCGCAATCAGGGATCGCACAGGGCTTACCGCCGCCATGCTTTTTGCAAAAGCCGCGGGATCGAACGACACGGTCACAGCCGTCCATGTTGCACAGCTTGCGGCGGGCGTTTTGCCAAGTCGAGCCGAGGGGAATTGTTTGCCCATGCTCGTTCACCACGGCCAAGTTCGCCGTGCTGTTCTTAGGGTGTTGCTCCATCTTGAAGTCGAACAAGCCCAGGTCATGAAACACTGCCAGGTCAGCGTCTTCGAGAAATGGAAAGCTTGCAGACGTAAAAGGAATGGGCTCGACAAGGTCAATAGTAGCGAACATGTTGAACAAGGCAAATGAAACAATGAACGACACTGGCAACGCCCCACATCCGACATGTGTGGCGTCGACCCATGCGTCACCACCTTGCGAACGCATTTCCAACAACTGTATGGATACAGGGCTACCCGCAACCTATGTTTCGCATTCCGTGGTGATATGGAGTGTCTGTTGGCTTGAATGTTACAGCATGGATGGGTTGTTTCGCAGGGCATTTTGTGAAGATTGCTCATACGCTGACGTCGATCGTAAATACAAGGGGGTATCGCGCAGTTTGCGTTCACTGTTCAATGTGCACTTAGGTTTAGTTCCCAATGGTTGGCAACTAAAGTGGCGATGAACTCACAGCTGTTTGTACGAACTTCTTTGGGACTTCAACGAGGAACGTTGGGTGCTGGTGGCGCCACGTGTGTGCTGACACTGGCTCTTTAGTCGCGTCACATTGCACAAACAGCAGTACAATTGCGCTAGATAGCTTTGCTCACTCAACGACGACTGGCCCATATGACGTGGTTCCATCGTCTATATTGTTTTGATTCCAACTGTGAACTACTGTGAAGTTCTCCCTATGTTGACATATAAGCAAGGTTTTTACATTGGTGGAATTTTGTTCCGCGGTGAAACGTCGAAGGGCAAATGAGGTTTTACATTCCCACGCTTCTCGCATGCAACAGGTGAAGACTTGCCGTGTACTGATGGGGTGAGGACTTGAAGCATACCCCCCACCACAATATTCTTGCCAACACAGTTGAGGGGGTGGTATTGGATTCGAAACTAGAGCTCCAGCAAAATCGAATGTCTCTTTGGTACTTTCTTTTCACAATGGACTACTGGTATGGCTGCCAATCCTCGGACCGAAGTAGCCAATGAAATTATCGAAAAAAGTACCTTTTGACCAATCAAGTATTGCAGGTGAATCCGGCGGTAATGGAGAAACGGCTAGTACATATGCGATCCGCTATCTTCGTCAGACGGACATGCTGTACTAGTAATACTTTCAAATTCCTGAAATGAAACTCACACCTTCGAACTTCAGGTGCGCCAAATTCCAGTGGTGAATTTGGCTGAAATACAGTATACGAAATGTCGATTTCGTCCAGGTGCACCTACAAATTACCAGCCAATCGTAGTTGGTTTTCACATCAATTGGTGATTGTGCATGGCATTTCGACTACTACGTAGTAATTGAGTTTTGGATTATCATTTTAAGACATACACTCATGGTCGTAATTCTGGGAGTACTCACATTTTTTGGGATATCTCAGCAACCAATGGGAGTTGTGAGCTGCTGTTTGAATATGATTAGCCAATTAGAATGCTGGAAACGTGGTTATGGCTACCAATGAGCGAACGCAATTGTGCGAGGACTTTCCATACAACAATCGATTTTTGCACACGGACATAATTAAGGATAAGGAACGGACATTTTACATACAAATTACCATATAAACAGAGTGAATGTATATCTGAAAACGCTCCATCGGTAGGCGGTGCACGTCTGAAATTCTTTATACCAGGCATACATTTTCAGAATATACATTCACTCAGTTTATATGGTAATTTGTACGTTGAATGTCGTACAAATTTGCCATATAAACTGAGTATATATGGTAATTTGTCCCTTCCTTAATTATTTCCGGGTGCAAAAATCGATTGTTGCATGGAAAGTCCTTCTTGCACAATGGCGTTCGCTCATTGGTAGCCATAACAACGTTTCTAGCATTCTAATTGGCTAATCATATTCAAACAGCAGCTCCCACTCCCATTGTGAATGTGCGTACTAGTCGATCACAAGGCGACAGTCAATGTAGCGCCTACTACGAGAATTCAAATGTTGGCCACGGCTCAGGTGGCGAACGCGAGCTGCATATCGCGAACGAGGTGACACACATGGTTTGCTCGATGGTGCGGCGATGGTTCCCCGCACCGTCGAACAAAACCGAAGCTTCTGTATGTATACACCAGGATGTCCGCTGCCATTAAATTTCAACTGAAGATTGAGCTCTTGAATGGCGCGGACATTATACTCTGCTGTAAATACGAAGGGATGTCTGCAGGCTTTGCAAGCGTCGTCGTCCTGATGTGACCCGCCAGCTTCTACACACGCTGCTACAGTACTTTTGCTGAACCTACAGTAGCAGGTCCTATATGGCCATGTACCACTTGGTTGTTCACAGCCGCAACACCTTAACATATTGTGGAAAACTGTCCGTTGACATCTACGGAGTAGTTCAAACCGCATCCATTCCGCACATTTTTGACAAGAATCGCTGTAGATATATGGACAGGAATACCGAAATTTTGGTTTTGCAGAATTCCACACTGTATCCATACATTCATTCGGTTAGCAACTACGGATACGATAACAATTACTATTAATAGTACGAATTTGCATGTATTGATCGAATGTCGTCACGCACTGAGCCGTCCTCCTCCGTCATTTGCCTTGCCCTGCTAGCATATCATATCATTTAAAGATCAGCGAGCAAGATGAGCATGGACAAGTAGAAGCTCAAGCGTAGGTCCCAGTAGACTTCCCAGCAGATGTAACCGATGGTCACGCTTAGCTTGCCATCAACTCTTGATGTCGCTTGCATGTCGTCGAAAAACGAAAAACTTAATCGATACCTCGATCTACCTTGCTTCTTCGTCGCTAACCACGAAGCCACGTACTTCATTTCAATGCATTGGTCATACTGCATTGTCGACGTTCCCACCAGGCAACTTGAGCTGTACGGACAGGAATTATTTCCATGCAATTGCCCAATTGTGAGGAGAATGCATTAAGTTTTACGGTTTCCACAACTACGTTTAAGAGGTAACTCTGGTTTTGTCACTATAACGTTATGTGGGGGCGCCGCTGTGAATGCGGAATGTAATGAGTTGCAACACCTCTCTAATGTGGCATCATTGTATTTGACGGGATTCACAGTGAGTAAAGAGTATCTAGTTCAAGTAAAACGACGTCGCGACGATTTCAGGTAGATTTGACGTCAATCGGAATCTACCGAAAGTACCAACTTTAGCTTGAAAACACAATACTAGGTACCGGTAAGAGAATGGACAAACAGTGACGAACCGCAACTCCAACGGGCGGGTCCCTGTCCTAACTGGTCAATTGTCGAAACGGTAACAAAACACCAGATAAATCCCCAAAATTACCCGTATATCTTCGACTATACCACTATTGTAACACGTTTTGGGGATGGGACCCGCGTTGAATCACGCGTCACGTTCTGTCGAATTCTGCCGACAGTACAATACTTGAGCCTTCAGCCTTGTTGGGCCACATGATAGTGCACTCTGCATAAGTTATTCTTCCATGTGAGGTGAACGATCGATTTTCTGAACTGTTTTACTGTTTTTGGGTCCATTTTGGCCATATTTTGTGGAGCTATTGCTCGGCGATACTGTTGAATTTTTAGAATTCAAAGATAAGTGTGGAAATAGAATTCACGGAGCAAACTAACAGTAAAGCAATAAAAATACGGAAGCTTAAATTCCGCGACCAGTCACTCAGAAAAATTTCGCGACCCCATGCAACCAGCCCCTAATCGGCTTTCTGGGTGGATCTATTTTCTGAACGGTTGCAAATATCTTGGGCTTAGTATTCAATTATAATACGCAATCCGGAGTAAATATTTTGAATTTATTGTTAATCCGCATAATTGATTGTATTTGAAGAGTTGATATTTTGAATATAATCCGCATGATTAATTGTACTACACCATTACCCGATCAAGTTAGACTTTTTTCCAATCAATGTGGTGATAAAAAATATAAAACAGTTCGAAACAAATACGAGTGGTGCATAAAACGCACAAAGTTCGGATCAATGTGGTTTTTGTTCCAATCAAAATGGAAACATATACTACACGTGAGTATACTATAGTGAATAGCAGTGAACATTTCGGGCAAATCCACCCTCCTACATCCATCTCACCCATCCTCGTGTGAACATGCGATTATGTATGGGTAACTTGGCGAATACGACAATTCTATCCGACATTAGTCTTATTGGTTAAAATTTCAATACTTCGTACCTTTCATTGGTAGATGACTCTTCATTTTCAATACAAAGACCAAATCTCGTATGTTGGTTTTTATACAATCTCTGA